TCGGTCGATCGTTAGAAAAGAAAGAGGCTTATTCGCGCGTTTACGCCATCGAGACCGCCTCAAGTACCTCTAACGTCTACGAGCAGGCGAGCAGGGCGTCGTAACGTAACGAAATTGTTTTTGACCATTTTCCACATTTTTGTAAATATCTCTGGAACCGTGCAAGATATTTTAACAAACTATAGCCCATTTTACAGTTCGGATGGCCCTTTAAATTCGTTACCTTATGACTCATCGTGCTCAAATTGGTCCTTGTGGTCTGAAATAAAATTCGTTTTTTTGGGATGCACATAACGCGTTACGTCCATCCGAAAAAAACGAATTTTATTTTAGCGCACAAGGACCCATTTGAGCACGATGAGTCATAAGGTAACGAAATTGAAGGGCCATCCGAACTGTAAAATGAGCTATAGTTCGTTAAAATATCTTGCACGGTTCCAGAGATATTTACAAAAATGTGGAAAATGGTCAAAAACAATTTCGTTACGTTACGACGCCCTGCAGGCGAGCCCCATACGGCCGCCGTCGCCAACAGCGGTGGGCGAGTAAGTCGTCCCGGGGCCTGGCGCCTGACATGGCGTGCCGACGACTCTGTTGACCCGCAGCTGGTCGCTGAAGTGTGTGGTGGTGGGGTGCCGTGATGGACCCGGCTGTGTGTGTGTGTGTGTCTGCCGTCGTGGTCTGTGATCAGGTGTTTGTCGTGTGCTGCTTGTTGTCGTGTGTTTGGCCACGTGCACAACCCGTGCTGCTTGTGTTGTCTATCTGCTTTGCTCCTTACCTCGCCTCCTGGGGCTCCTCGTGCGCTGCGTCCGGACCTTCCGCGACCAGCTGGTGGCGCGCCGGCGCCGGGGCTGGTCCCTGAACCTGCGACAACCAAACGGCAAACAAAAACAAGTAAGTGGCTTGAACAATCTCAGATCTCAAGGTCACATATCAAAAGAGATTGGTACCGCGTGAGGTAGACGAGTAACTTTAAGGGGCTTGAAGAGAGTGCCTGATAAAAAGAAGCTCTGAGAAAATGAGGAAAGGGCCTACTACCTACTACCTACTACTTTTATAAAACAATTCAACTGAGTTTTGAGGAAGTTCCAAAAATGTTTCTTTTATAAAGGTAGTAGCTAAAATTGACGACCTCGTCTTTTACCATGAAAATGTTTGTATTTTTCACAAAGAAACATGTGACAAAGCTTGTGTGCGTCGCAACAGATTCTCCTTGGCCAGCGTGGGCACGACGCCGACGTGGCACGACCATCCCCCCCGGTGACGGAGCGGCGGCGGTGCGTTGCGTTTCACATCTCACGTGCATTTAGCGCGGCCACCGTCATTTATCGCTGCCCCCATCATTGCAGTCCTCGCCCCGCCCCGCCCCGCCCCGCCCGCTGCAGCGCCCCTGGGAACGCCGCGAGCAGCCCGAGTAGCCCCGGCCTGCGAGACCCTGAGCGGCCAGCCCAGCGCGCAGCACGGCCAGAGAGACAGACGGGGGGCCTCGGGGCGCACGTTTTGCAGATTGCAGACATGGAATGGCACTGCACGACAAACGGGGCGGACGGACAGACTCTCACACGGACAGAGAGAGAGAGACACCCGCGGGCGACACCGCACTGCTTGGACGTTTAGCAGACCGTGGGCCCCGAAGCCGCCCCGCGCTGCCCCACCCCTGCGCAGGGCGCCGCTAGTCCGACAGCCGAGCTGACGTCGCGTGATCCGGCGAAACGCGAGTAAGAACGCCTCCGTCATCATCCGCTTCCAGACAGAAGCCCCCCCTGTATGGATTCCCTACAGCAAGGGCGCGCGCGATCGGCAAAAAGAAAAAAAGAAAAATACACAGTCATTTCAGTGACTCATTTATCCTTCCGGAACGGCGTCTGACGAAGCACAGGCGCTGAGCCGCCAGCAGGTAAAAACCGCGAAAAACCTCATCTGGCCTCCTCCAAATGAATGAAAAACTTTGGAAGGTTATTGGGAGGTTCAAAAATACCAAATTCAAGGAGAAGGCCACACTGATTGGCACCTAAGACTAATAATGCCGAAACGTTTGCCGTAGAGAGTTGCCGCGCATATTCTCTTCGGCATGCTATGGGAGACATCATCAGCATCGTCGTCGCCGTGTCACGAAATACCCAGCAGAGCTCCCTATCAAATATGATTTGCGGTCGGAGGGAGAGGAGGGCGAGGGGGAGAGGGAGATCTTTCCCCGCGAGAAGCCGGATGGTGCGGGGGGGAAAGAGAGAAAAAAAGTAAAAATCATGATCGTCGCCGCGTGATTCGCAGTGACACGCTTCTCCCCGAGGTGGGTTATTCGCGAGGGGCCGCGACCGACTTGGAGTTTATTGATGTCTCTTCTGCGGGTCGGGTCGGGTCGCCGCTCACCTGCTGCCTCCTGCAGCGGCGTATCGTCGTCCTGGAGACCACCGACAGCCGACAGCCTCCGCGGAGGCGAGTGTTGGAAATTAACATTTACCTCGGTGGGTAAGGACGTTTATGCGAAGGAAACCGTGCGCCATAAAGTGCTGCAAAATGAACACACCACTCTGCACATAAAAAGTATATGCGTGACCAGGTCACACACAACGTTTGTATCATGACGGGTTTTATGGGGAGGCGAGGCTGTGTCTTACTTTTCCTTCCTTCCTTCCTTCCTTCCACGACCGCCTTGACCGGGCCAAAGCCTATCCAGCAAAAGAGTGTACTCTACTTTAACTCGATTGCGAGGCACAAGCACTAAAGACGTATCATCGTGTGTGACAGAAATGTGCACTGTTCCCATAGTGTGCACACCCAAGGAAATGGAATTTAATTTTGTAGTACACAGCAAAACGAGGACTTGCACGGGGTCCGCCCGGAAATAACACATCATAATGCGCAAGAAGTCATAGGGAACAAGGCGGGGGCAATAAAGACACGTGCAGTCGCACAATTAGGGACGCCCCCTACACCGGGCCTTTTACGAGTATTTGTTGTTTGCCTTTAAGGGAAGCGCCCCACCACTAGGGCACAGGGGAGGGGAGGGTGTGAACGAGTATATTACTCTGTCCGGAACGTTTTCCGCGTAAGGTCCGCGAGCTGCAACGTGAATGTATAAAAGGCGTTTCGTCGTGCCGCCGGCTGCAGACGGCCACACCGCGGGCCAGCGGGACGCACCGAAAACAAAGCAAAATATAATAATATGAAGATGGAAGAAAAAATAAAACTGCAGCCGCAGCAGCTGAGCGGCGGGCAGCGCCCAGACGGACCGTACTGTTCTCTCTATTTCTCTGCGTCGCAATGTTTTGCGCAATGTAGCGAGAAAAATATCATTCCCGATGATTTCGTTAAAAAAGTGTACAGCTAAGAAACATTTACAAGTTTAGACAAAAAATATGAAAAAAAATAATAATATCATTCTTTGATTTGCCAATCTGTATGGTACATAACGAAGTTCAGTTACAAAAATTCATTTCCAGCGTTTTACTAAGTCGACGCGCAATTAAAATGCACAGAGGCACCTCTGGTCGCGAATGACAAGGGTTGATTTCTTTTTGCAGTGTCGCCTGTCAAAACGGCTGCAAACTAAATTAGGCAAGTCGAGATGAGGCCCTACAGTCGGTGCCACCGCAGCGGCCGGACTGGTTCTCCACTGAGTGTGGGAACCCCGAGCGCGTTTGGGGCGGCCGACCGCCTCGGCAGACGAGATCCGAATCACCCCTTGATGATGTGCCCAACCAATCACACCTCTCTTCTTGCCGTCCACATCTCATTCATTTCATACCGCGGCGAAAAATGCGGAGAAGAGCAGGGCGGCCGAGAGAGAGGGGGAGGCAGACAGAAGGGCACCGGGGCCGAAGTATATTGGCGAGACCAAAAGCGCGTCGAACTGGCAGCGGGCCGATCGAACGGGACGGATCATTCCCATCCCCATCGTCATGGTCGGCGAGGAAGACTACTACGTGACACACGGCATTGCCGCGGACCGCTGGCCCCAAACCGAAACGTGCCGCAGAGGAGCAGTGGTGGTCATCGCCCGTCCCCGTTATACACTGGAAAGAGGAAAAGAGGAAGTGGTGCATTATGGGGTTGTACTTACACGACGATGGTCTCCTCGTCGTCCTGGTCCTCCTGGTCGGTGGGCGTGTTGTCCAGGTCCACCCACTCGTCGCTCGTCTCGGACAGCGGCACCCGCGCCGCCTGCACCGCTCCGGGCTCGAACGGCAGCTCCAGCACGGCGGCCACTGGAGTGAGAGAGAGAAAGAGAGAGAGAGAGGGATGAGATAATGCATCTAATGAGACACGATCATGAACCTCGACCTACCTACTGGTGGCAAGCGCACCGAGTGTGACAAGGAGGGGGCGAAGGACGAGTGGGGGAGGAGGGAGGCGAGGGGAGTATTCCAATCCCCGGGTGATTGTTTGATTGTGCTGTTCGGGTGGGTGGCACAGCAGCGGTGGCACTGTGGCAGCAGGCAGGCCTGCTAGAGAGGTGCGCGGGCATTCCTAGAGGGGCAACCCCTTGCGGCAAACCACCCACTATAGCGCGATAGCGGGACGGCGCGGCCGCGGGGCGTGGCGTGGCGTCGCGTGGCGGGGAAGACCGCAACAGTCGCCTCCACTCTTCTCCTCCAACACCCGCAGCATCACGCCCAGCCTCGCCAATCACCCCCATTCACGTCGCCATGAATAGGCGCCACAGCCGTACAGTGCGCGTTGTGCTCGGCATCATAGAAGGAAGGAGAAAAAAAATGCACATGTATATAAGGTCGCGCGCGCCATATAACTGTGCTGCCCTATGCGCCTCCTCTATGGGGCGCCAGTAACAGTCATCATCCTCTCATTGCATTATCATTATTATTAGATTCGCTTCCGTATGACTGCGCCTACGATGCTTATCGCGTGCTGCAGTGTTTCGCAGGAGCCGCCCCACACCGAAATATTACCATACGTTTCGTACATGACTGCTATGTGAAATGCCGACCCGCCCCGCCCCGCGGAGAGTGGCCAGGGCTATTCAGGTCGCCAGCCGCGCTGGTGCTGCATTGAGGAAACAAATGAATGTGCGTCGGTGTGAAAAGAAGTGTACAAAGGCAAAATGAAAAAATAAGTCGAGCAATTTTGTTTCTTTAAAATGAACCACAGTGTTCCCGCGCTCAGCAATTTTCAGCGTTAGTCGAGCGTTAGCGTTACAAAATTCTTGTCTAATTTTGCCCTGCACTTTGTAAGAAAAGATACGTGCACCATTTTCAATCTATTATTTTAAGTTTTGCGAACTTCATTCTAATCTGGTAGTCGTCAGATACCAGGTCAGGTACACCAATTCTAGCGGGTCAAAAATGTGTTGAAACCAAATGAAAATTTAATTCACTTTTCTGACTAACTTTTGCAATTGAAGATTGCCTGAACATTATCTAAACCACAAGTCTTGCGAAAGGAAAGAGGACAAAGTTGTGCTCACAGTGTCATTTTTCACTTCCACCTCCCACTCGTTAGCGCGACAGAAGGGGGTCCCACAGCTGTTAACAAGGGCGCGAAACGCAGCAGCCATAAACAGGAGGGGCGGACAGGCGGCGGTGGGGTCGAGCGGCAGCAGCGGCACCGTGGGACGGACGGGGAGAGAAAGAGCCTGCCGAGCAGCGGAGGGGTCAGCCGATGTTACCCGGTCACAGTTTGTCGTGCGCCCGCGGAGAAAAGGACAATGTACGTACATGTAGAGATGTACATGTAGCTTGACCTTGAAGTGAGAGGGAGAGCGTGGTACCAACTTTGTCGCAAGGTACTGATTATCCATAGACGCGGAATACAGAAACGAAACGTGGCCTAACAATTTAAGAAGTGAACGCCGAAAATCCCTACAAATTTTCGCGCGTACAAAGTCCAATTTTCGAAAAATGTTTTTTTTTTA